CAGGTCTGAACCTTTCTAATTCAGGTTTTTCAGGTCAAGTGCCTTTGGAGGTGTCGCGGCTCACCAAGTTAATCTCCCTTGATCTCTCTTGCGATGATTTGGGTTCTTTAAAGCTTAAAGATCCCAACTTGCAGATGCTTGTAAGAGATTTACATAACTTGAGGGAACTCTACCTTGATGGCGTGAACATATCAGCAAATGGTAGTGAGTGGTGCTCTTCTTTACCTCTTGCAGTCCCTAAGCTGCAAGTTTTGAGCCTGTCTTATACTCAGCTTTCAGGACCCATATGTAAATCACTTCAACAACTCCAACTGCTCTCAACACTTCACCTTAATGGAAACAATTTTTCCTCAGAGATGCCAAAGAAGCTAATGCTGCTACCTGGTCTGCAGAGTCTTGATGTATCAGTAAACAGGCTTCTTTCAGGAACTTTGCCAGAATTTCCCAAGACAAGTGTTCAAGAGTTTTTATCACTTTACTTCACCAGCTTCTATGGACAGTTGCCAGATTCAATCGGCAATCTCAAGCTGTTAAAGGAATTGGAGTTAAGAGATTGTAACTTCTCTGGTTTGATACCTTATTCTCTGGCAAATCTCTCCCAAATTACTCATATTGGTCTCTCATCCAACCATTTTCAGGGTTGGCTACCTTTTTTTGCAACCCCTGAAGAAAAGCACCAAAATTAATGCTAGCAACCATCATGGCTTTCTTCAGAGTCTTGAGTTCCTTTCAATTGACAACAACTCAATGGAAGCAACTTTGGATCCATCAATCTTTACTCTTCCATCATTAAGGAAATTGTTTCTGAGCCAAAACCTTCTCAGTGGTGCACTGAAGACAATCCATGCAGCATCTTCATCCCTCCTAGAAATTTTGGATCTGAGCTTCAACAATTTGGAAGGTCAAATTCCCGACTCTATCTTCGAACTTCAACATCTTAATTATCTTCTACTCCTCTCCAACAACTTCAGTGGAATGGTTGATGCAAGCATGCTTAGAAACCTAAAGAGCCTACAACGTCTTGAACTTTCCCACAATAGAAATTTGATGATTAGTGACTCAAGCAACTCCTCCCTACCGAAGCTTGAGAGATTATTGTTGAATTCCTGCAATATCAGTGAATTTCCACATTTCTTGAGAAACCAAGTTGGCTTGGTTGACTTAGACCTTTCAGACAACAAAATCCACGGTCAAATTCCCACCTGGATTTGGCATCAAAGCCTTCTGTACTTGAACCTTTCCCATAATTTCTTGATTGGAATGCAGACACCAATCCCTTCCAATTATTCAAGTTCTTTGGCCTTCCTTGATATCAGCTCCAATCAG